TTTCTCTGATGGTTATAATATGACGTTTGAGCACTTTTGACAGTATGTCTCTAACGAAGAAAGGAATGCTTTTCTCGGTGTTTCTCAGGGGTTTAGAGAGCTCCAGGGCCATTACTATTATTTGAGGCTTCCACATCTTAAGAAACAAACACTACAGTAGGACTACAAAAATAGTGACTGTTCACAATTTTTAAATTTAACAGATGAGTCAACACAAAACATGTTGCATTAAAATCATTCTATGGACGAGGTGTTTATAGAATTTATAATGTTCTGTAAAGTGCTTGGCCTAATAACGTGATACAGATCTAAAGTTATATTTTGGATTGCTTCTTTCAGGCTTGTCAGTGAATCTGTGTGACCTCAGGCACCTTGTTTGAAGATAATGTCAGCAGTCCACACATGAGGCGTTTCCTTGATTTTCTTAAATCCTACACTCACTGGGCGCGTTGGCCCTCCTGGCTCACTTATGAAAGGTCTTGGCTTTTCTTGACTAGTAAATTAGCAGCTTCTGGAGCACAGAATGAGGCCTTTTACATAGTCTTTCTTTCCCTGGTCACAGAATAACATCTGGCAAATAGTAGCAGTTTAATAAAAATGGGCTGAATTTCTCAAATACATTTTTTTTTGAATTTTGCAATCATCTTTAATGTGGAGATTATTAGCAAAAAGATTCTTCTATCCTGCAAAAATCTGAATGTGGACTTTTTCTTCTCTCTCTTTCTCTCTTCCGGGAAGCAGGAAGACGGTGGCTAAAGCATCATGGGTAGTGTCGGTGGAAGTGGTTAAATTCTGGATACGTTCTGAAAGATTTGCTGATTGAAGTGAGGATGTGAGAGAAACAGACAAGTCATGTATATCTCCAAGATTTTTTGCTACAACAACAAAGTTTCCATTTACCGAGATGGGGACCACCATAGGAGCAGCATTTTGGGGTGCAGTGTGAGTGTGAGTTAGGATCAGAAGTGCTGTTTGGACATGTTAAGTTTAAGTTGTGCATTAAACATGGAGTGGAGCTGACCAATATGGAGTGGTCAAATTAAGGTGATATATATATTTATATATACATGATGAATATATATATATAGTGAATATATATATTGAGGTGAAAAAAAGTATATTCTAAACCCCCCATCTCCTCTCTCCCATCTTAGAAGAGAAATGACTTGCTGAAAAATAAACCAATCAAGCTCTGTCCACTCATTTGGTTCCTCCCTCCTTCTCAGGAAGCACAGGAGGGAAGTGGAAGGAGGAGATGGCAGAGGAGATAGCCAAGACTGAAGCATCTGATTTGGCGGAGAAACCACCATCTTTGAGAAGATCATTGGCAAGGAAATCCAGCCAAAATCATTTTTGAGGATGACTGATGTCTCATTTCCATGACATTTCCCCTCAAATACCAACATATTTTCTGGTGATACGCAAGTAAACGTGTATCCCAGATATCCGTAGCAGATGATGAGGAAAGCCGTGGACATTTAATGATTGTTGACAAGAAATGTGCTGCTGATCTGGGCCTGAGGAAGGGTTATGAAGAGCAGTGAATGAGGGTTCAGATGGGAGACAATCTGTCACATTCATCTCCATGTTCTTGGAGGCGGGCAGATGAATTGGCCTCCTGGTTTAGCAAGCTTTAGGGATAATTTTCTCTTTTCTAGGCAATGATCAAGTGGGCAAGTTTCAATATGTCAAGTAGTACACTTATTTTTGCCTGTATATGGAGAGATTGAAGAAATAATGTTTTTAAAAAATACATTATAAAAGACATTTGTTGCATGGTTTACCGTGAAAACAAACAAAAACTAAAAAAGAATCAAGGACCAGACTACAAACTTGAAAACTCCAGAGACTTTTTTCTAATGAGAGAATTTGATCATATTACTCCTTTGATCAAAATTGGTCATGGTTTCCTACTGCCCATAGAAAAACAAAATCTAAACTTGTTTGTATCAAATACTCCCTTCCTTATGACCGGCCCTTTCCCTATCTCTTCTGCCACAACTCCAGCCTGTATTGTAAGACCTAAAATTTTAAGTGCTCCCTGGACATCTTTGAGCCTCACAAGGCCCCCAAAAGGCCTAACTGTGAGTTCACCTGCTCTCAGCAGATACTCCTTCCACCAGGCCAGCTCCTCTATCAGCCAGACCAGGTGCCTCCCGCTGGCTCCTCAACCTAATGGGTTTCACCTCACTGTTAGCCCCTGAAACTATTAAAATAAGACAATCACATTTTCTGAAGGGAACCAGGGGTCACCCCACCCTCTGGTTACTACAAAGCTTACCTCCCACTGTCCCTGCTGGTTCACTCTGCTTGGGAATCTAACCCCTGTGTGGCTCCACATGGCATGCAGTGTCCTCCTCTTCCAGGTAGCGGGTATATGTGACTAGTAACCTGCTACCAACCTCATTTGTCCAGTGTTGAGTGTCATGTGTTCGGCCATCTCATATTATTCAGGCAGAGGATCCCTTCTTCGCCAACAGGGTGAATAGGAGGTGATCAGGACACAGCCCCTTTTTTTCCTCTCCAAATCCCCCTTCTACCATCTCCGTCACCTCCATATTCTATCACATTGAATTTTCTGTAGTTCTCAAGAAATCCTTAATGATTATGCCTCCTTGTGTTTCTTCTGCCTAGAATCCTCTTCTTTTGGACTTCCTGGCAAACTCTTACTCATTCAAGTTTGACTCAAAATCTACCACCTTTTCTGAATCAGGCCACTGCCAGGGCAAAAAGTTAACGGAGGAAATCGATTTCCCTCAGTTTTCACGTATCTCTCTAGCCATGGTGATGACCCTTCGTCATACTCTGAGAATTAAAATACTAGAATGTTCACGTAGTTGCTGGGTAATGATGATGTTCTCTACCTGAAGTAGAGGGTCATTATGAAGCAGGTGATCACATATTTAAAGTAAACATGAAGATTCATGTTAAGTACCTGGTGTCTGATTTAGAGTCCACTCCATGGCTGGTCACATGGTAGGTATGTAACCAGCTCCCTTTACAAACTTTGGGCTCCATTTCTCAAATGGACTTTGGAGGACAAGAAAGCCCTCTCTAGTCTTTCCTTTTGTATATCTTTTTCCTGCTGTGTCTGCACTTTTTCCTTTGCTGTGATAAATCTTAACCTTGAGAATATGTTGAATCAGGTGAGTTCTTTCAGTGAATCACCCAACTAGTGGGTGGCCATGGGGCCACCAGAAACAACCATCATTTCTACTTGCTCCCACTGCATTTAGTGTATAATCTTTTTTAAAGAAATATCTTAATTGTGCTATGCGTACTTACATGTATTCTTGTTTAAAAGCATGTCTAGACTGTAGGCTACTTAACGCCTTTTCTTAGCACCCAGCACAGGATCTGACATAAATCCCTTAATAGGAATCCATTCTGAAGGAAAGAAATATAAAACAGTCCACACATATACTTTAAAAAATAAGCACAGAGAATAGTTCTGTTACAGACTGTAAAGGAAGGTAGAGGATAGAGACACATTTACCAGTAGCGACTGCAGAAGCGGTTTTCTCAGGTCAGAGTTCAATCGTGGCCACCAAAACTGCACTCTGCCTTAAACTGTTACTTATTTACTCCAAAGATTAAGACTCTGGTAGTTGAAAGAATCTGTACCAGGATGGCCAAGAGGATATCTAGTCGATCGCCTTATCACATGGCCACAACGACCTAACAAGTAGTGCTTTCTGAATTATGTAGAGAAGGAAATAAAACTCCATACCTCAGCTTCCACCCCTACCCTCACCCCTGCACTCAGCGTATTTCAGCTTTTTCCCGGCTTCATGGCGCAATAAGAACTGTCATGATAACTGGTGGCAACAATAGATCGGTCACTTTGGCAACCAGAAGAAACCTGGTTTACTATGAGAGGACATATTAGTTAGTGACAACTGAGTATCCATGAACGACATTCTTACCTGTAGAGGACGTAATTTCACGTTTATTTTCAGGAAATAATTTTAATTTCAGAATTTTTTCTTAAAGAAGGGCTCCATTTCATTTTGTTTCCTTATTGTGACACTAAGCTACAGAATTTTAACTGAAGAGGAAAAGAAGACACCATAGCAGAGGATGGTTTCGATCCATCGACCTCTGGGTTATGGGCCCAGCACGCTTCCGCTGCGCCACTCTGCTTCTCGCTGAAGCATTCTTATAATAACATTGTTAACTGTACTCAGAGGCGATTTACTCACTAGCTTTTAGGAAGTCTGCGGAAGGTCGCCTATTTATTTCAATATCTTGGCTACCAAAAGTTGCCAGTTCTCTTTAGGATAATGTCGCTACCAGAAACAAGGAGAAAACAAAACTGGGAGTAGAGAAGCAAACATTAACACATTGTTACTGGGCGCAGAGGTGGGGGGGTGGCTAGACAGTCAAACGAGAATCACAGGTTTTAATAAACAGGGAAAGAAAACAAACCAGGAAAGGAACCCGGGCTTCCGCGCGGCAGGCGAGAATTGTGCCACGGAATCACGAACCACGTATTCGCCTTCGGGAAGAAAACTCTTTTAGTCAGATTTCTTTCGGTTGGAGATAGAGACGGTGATGTCTCGCAATTTTTAAACTCCTCCGCAGGTGGCTTTCGCTTCGGAGGGGCTTTGCCGCAGGGAACAGAAATGCCAGAAACACTAAAGGGGGCAGCAAAGCAGCACTCTGCATTCCAACGAAGATTGCTGCAGTTCTGGGCATGTGGGACAAGGCTCTTGTGCAATCGTCCGAACGCATCCCAAGCAGCAAAAGATAACCAGTCAAAAATGTGAATTTCTTTAGTCTGACGCAGTTGTAAAAAAAGATCCGAAAATTCCCAATTGGGGACGCAGACCGTGCCGGAGACGCTTCCGCAGAAGGCCCCCTCGGCGGCCGGGTAACCGAGTAAGCAGTGACGTCATTCCAAAGTGGGCTGCGAGGGGCGGGGCCGGCAGGCTGAGCGGACCTTCCCGCCTGCGCGCCTTCAGTCTTCAATTAGGTCCGCAATCCGCACATATAAGGAAATTGCCTAGGTTTTTCTGTCGCTGTTTTGGAGTTGCTCTGAGCGGCGTTATCATGTCTGGTCGCGGCAAAGGCGGAAAAGGACTGGGAAAAGGGGGTGCTAAGCGCCACCGGAAGGTCTTGCGGGATAACATCCAGGGCATCACCAAGCCGGCCATCAGGCGTCTGGCCCGCCGTGGCGGCGTTAAGCGCATTTCTGGCCTTATCTACGAGGAGACCCGCGGGGTGCTCAAAGTGTTCCTGGAAAACGTGATCCGGGACGCGGTCACCTACACCGAGCACGCCAAGCGCAAGACCGTTACTGCCATGGACGTGGTTTACGCGCTCAAACGCCAGGGTCGCACTCTTTACGGCTTCGGTGGTTAAGTTGTCTGTCTTCAACTAGTTACTACATCTAATCAAAGGCCCTTTTCAGGGCCGCCCACGTATTTCCATAAAAGAGCCTAGCATTTTTATTGGAACGTTTTGATGTTTCTAGCTACTAAGTGCGTAGCTTGGTTGCGTTTAAAACTCGTCCCGTTCTAAGACAGCTGTAGCTTTAAGACCACCTATTTGAAAATGGGGTATTTTATGGCATTAAGCTTACGTACGTTGTTGCCTTACTTAGTGTTCAAGTGTAAAGATTTTTGGATTACTGTTTCTTTTGCCGGTGAATGTCGCGTAGCATTGTTCACTTCTCCAAGAAGCTGCTTGCTTAGTGCTCCAGTACTTAAGTCGTGTGTGCGTGGTTTTTGAGTTCTACGGAGAAGTCGCATTTAACTGCCCGGAGGTAGCGGGGCGATCCTGCCCTCCCCTGCCTGTGTTCCCCTGCGCAAAATGGCGGAGAGGGCGAAGAACAAAGAAAGCCCGCGCGCCGGCGGCGGTAAGGGGCGCCCCGGAACAAAGCGACTCTGTGGGCGGAAGGGCGCGTTGCCCTAGGCAGGAGCGCGAGCTCCTGGACCCGGGTGGCCGCGCGCTGCTGTGTTTCCTTGGCGAATCAGCCTTTGTTGTAGAGGAAAACACATTTGGGGAAAAATTAAAATACACACGTGGGGAGAGCTGGCAAGTGTTCAGCATAGAGGCTAATATATTTCTGACATCCTATTATGGAAACTTAGGATGTTACTTAATGATCAATGATATATAAATGTCACCTAAATTTGTCAAGTGGACGTGATAGCGTTTTTTTTTTTAAAGTATACATAGAGGCATCAGGATATTTCACCCCAAATTATTAGGTATGCACTATAAAAAAAGTTACATAATCAGACAACGAAAACAAAATTCCCTCATATCTATCAGTTAGTTCACATTTAAAAAAATCCCTATTTTATGCCCCAAATATCTTAAGAGTTCAGATTTGCTCAGAGGAAGATGCCAGCACGCCTTTGGTTGCCTGAGGTCTCTTTAGGTACAACAGTTTTCTCCTCTTTCCTCAGCCCCACTTCTTGTTTTGGACATTGATTTGCTGGAGACCTAACCTTTAGAATGTCCTTCTGGTTTGGCTTGTTTCCTAAATGGGGTCATTTTACTTGACTTCTATACCCTGTATGTCCTACAAGGTAGAAGTTATTTCCATAGACGTGATTGAAATCATGTTAATTTTGTTGTCAAGGAACAGATTATAGATGCTATGTATAGGCTATTTGCACATCAGGGGCACATGAGGTCAGGCTTATCCAAATTCGAGATGATGGATTGATCACTGGTTTAGGGAGATTAATTCCATTGTAAAATCAGGTTTTCCCTCCCTATGGTCAGCAGGTAATCTGTACGGTGATACTTTGACTTCGGGAAAATCAAGGGAGCCATTTTGAATCTCGTCTAAAAGATAGGGACTCTAGTGCTTAAATAAGAAAAGAACCAGATGTTATCGGAGCTAAAGCACCAGTTTGAGGAGATAAAGTTATATGAGGATAATTTACCAAACAAACAGCACTGTTCTATGCTCTGAGAATTAGAGCATTGAATAACAGTGAACAAAACATTTCTGTATTTGTGGAGCTTATATTTTATTGGAGTGGGGATAAACAAACCAGGTAAAACAGATAGTGTGTCATGGTGCTAAGTGCCCTGCGGATCACTGAAGTAGGGAAAGACATCAAGTGTGGAGGAAGGAGGTGATGTTTGAAATGTTATGGTCAGGAAAGGCTTATGATAAAGTGATGGTTGGGGAAAAACGATTGAGAAAGGGAAGTTCCAAATAGAAGGAAGACCAAGAAGGAAAGCCTGGAGGCAACAAAGAGTTATGGTGGCAGAGGAGGGGTGAGGTTGTGTGGAGGAAAAGGAGATAAGGCCTGAGAGGCAAACGGAAGTGAGCACTTCCTGTGTGGACTTGTAAGCCAGTGTAATACTTTGACTTTACTCTGCCTGAGGTAGGAGCCTTTGCAGGGTTTTCGGCAGAGGCTAGACATGATCTGATTTATATTTTAAAATGATCAGATGTGCTGGTGGAGAATAGACTGTGATGGGGCCAGGGCAGGAGTGGGAACGCAGCTGAGTGATAACAGTGGCTTGGCCCAGTGTGTTAGTGTAGGAAGCTGTAAAAAGTGCCTTGATTCTGTATATATTTTGAAGTTAGGGTTTCTAGTTTTTTCCTGAGCTAGTGAATGTAGAGTATGAGAGAAAGAAAATTCTTGGATGATCTCAGTGATTTTAGCCCCAACAACTGGGATAGAGATGCCAATTGCTAAAACTGGGAAAACTATGAGAGGAAGATGTTTTGGGAGAATCAGAGGTTTAGGATTGGCTGTGCGTCGTTTGAGATGCTTGTTATATACCTAAGAGGAATATATGAAATAGGCCGTTGGGTATATGAGTCTGCAGTTTAGGGAAGAAGTCTGGGCTGGAAATCTGATTGGGAGTTGTCATGGTATAACTACCATGAGACGAAAAAAGCCACAAGATCGGATGACATCTCTTAGGAAAGAGGGTTGATGATGAAGAGAAGCAGTTCAAGGACTGAGCCCTAAGTCAGAAAAATGAGTGTTTGCTCTATATTCATGACATGTGAATTCATAACTTAGAATTTTACAAGTGCCTTCTTCTGTAATTCTCCCTCCCTCCTGTGATTCTCAGAACAAGCAGAATAAATATTATCCTAAGATAGGATAGGGGAAATAGGCAAGAAATCTGCTTTACTCCTACCCTCCTCTGATTAGCTGAGCTGATTCAGAAACACTTTTTCCAATTTTGAAATGCAGGGATTTGAACAAATCAGTGGTTCCCAAATGCTCATCTATGGATAGTGTTAGTATGTGTCAAAGTTTTCTCCATTCTGTGTCAAAATGAGAACATTTCCTTAATATTAAATTTTAGTGTAGTAAATTTTCCTTAATATTAAAAATTAATTCAATTTCTTTGGTATAAAGGGCCAAATTTATTTAGCATAAAGATTTCTTATTTTAAAGTTACCACCCTTAATACCGTCGAGGTGATAAGAGGATAATTCTTTCATGAAATAAGACTGATAATAGTCTTCTAAATTGTTGGCAATGCTACGTCAGTCTTTGGGGGTGGCCCTAGCTTTTCCTAGTCTGGGAATGATTGTAGACAACGATTTCTTGATTCTCTTTGAGTTTTAAAAGTGTAGCTACTTTTTTGAAGATGGCTCTTCATTCTGGCCAGATACTATAGGGAGGTTGGGCAAAGGGAGCAAGGGGCATGGGGAGAAAAAAGGGAAAAAAAAGTTAATAATCAGCTCTTATGTGAGTTCCCAGGGTTCCTTCCTTATAACCAACACATCTGACTATTAAATGAGGTACTCAGTTCTAGGGAGGCACCAGAAGGTCCCTGGAAAATACGCCACATATTACTCGAATTGGCAAGCAAAGGCAGGGAAGTCTGACAGGCACTAGGTTGTCCTCAAAACAGTTCAGGGGAAAGAGATGGTTCTAAAGAGGGGTGTAGACTGTTAAAAGGGATTTGCCAGACAAGGAACCCTAACTGGTGTCAAATGCTAGTAGGCTTTTTGGCCCACTGCCTTGTTCAAGGCCTCAGGACTCTGAGATTCCAATGTGGGCACCCAGGACACTTTCCTTATGTCACTTCAACCAGAGGCTGTAGCCACAGCTAAATTTTAGAGAATGTTCTCTGTGCAGGCACCATCTTGAGTGCTTTACTTGTCTTCTTTTATTGATCACCCCAGCAATGCTATGTGGTAGTAACTAATTACTATTCCCATTTTAGAGGTAAGGACATCCTCACAGAGGGTTTAAGTAATTTGCCCAAACTTAGCATTCAAACAGGCAGTCAGGACTGTGTCAAGTCCTGGGGGATTCCCCCTTAAACCGTGCTTGTTTCTTTCTTTCATGAAAACATTGTCTTAAAATTTATATAAAATTAGCTTTGGAGAGCAAGAAATGAATGTCTTAATTATACATGGGGTTTAAGGAATTTTCTTCACAAGCCCCATTACAAAATTGAGTCACTTATTTCATGTTTACAGCAATCTCCTATGTAGGCATTTGTAGATTAAAGACGTAGCTAATAAGTAGAAAATGAAGTTTTTGAACTCAGGTTTACACTGCCAACACCCATGGTTTCCCCCACACACCACAGTGCCCAGAAAAGGTAAACTTGCTGCCAAGTGTTCCTTAGGTTCCAAGTCTCACTATATATATATATTTTAAAGGAAACTGGCTGATGGAAGGACTTTGTTGTGCCCTGAAGAACAGGTGTATCTTCTGACCAGTTTTACTTTGATTCCAATGCTCTATTTTTCCTTTCACCCTATTTCCCCATTCCTGTGATTGCAGCTAGCCTCTCGCTTGCAAAAATCTAACAAATAGTGTGGAAAGAGTCCTTTGAATTAGACAGACAGGGATTCAGATCCCAGTTTTATTTATCTATGTGTGTTAGAGGCTAGTTACTTAACCTTAATTCCTCAGGTCATTCAGCTGTAAAATGGGAGATTCCATTTCACAGGCGATTGCAGGATAAAACCAGCAAGTTGCTAAGGAGGGGCACCCAAATGTTGATTTCTTGTAACCCTTCTCTCTTAAAATCCTAGGAAATAAAGAAGCAGCTGTGGACAACGTCATTCTAGGACACAAAGGAGAAAGTTTAGGAAGAGCTGGGAATTCTCAGGGCTGAAAAGTGAAAAGGCTGACAGATTGAGGCAGATTCCTATCTTTACCCAGCAGGAATCACAGGTGGTTGAAGTAACACTGGAGACTTTCACTTGCTTCCTCCTCCCTCATGTTATCTCGTTGCTTGTAGTGTCTCTTACACCCTTGTATATTAAGCTGGGTAGAAAATTCTAGTGGATGATAAAACAGAGTTCCTGACCTTGCCAAGAGGTAATAATGAGCTACGTGAAATAATCCATGAACGATGTTTCCTGTGAAATTAGTGGACTTGGAAGGACGCGCGTATGACAGACTGGCAGAGATGTGCTGTGGATTAGAAACACAGGCTGCACAGGTGGTTTCTCTCAGTGGCATCTCTAGCCATTTGCAAGCTAACATAGCAAGCTCCAAAATGTTTTATTTTTTCAAGAATGCTCTTATCTTCTCACTTTTGTTTAGACTTAGGGGCACTCAAAATTGTTTAAGACTCAGTGTTTTCCCCTGGTTACTTCCGATCAAGGGAAATCAGGATGACAAAATGAAACCAAAACTGGAAAAAACACGCTCGTGGTGGAAACAGCTCTAGATCAAAGAGATCAAAACAGAACCCTAGGATGCGTCTTCCTTTAGTAATTAAGCGTAGGAGCCAAATTGAACACACTGTAGTTAACTGAATACATATTTACTACTAGGCGTTCCTTACAAATTGTAACAGAAAATAACGTGTCCCAAAATTTTAATAAATTTCTACTACATTGAGTGCTACAGCCATTTTCAACCTGTTTGGAGAGTTACAGATCTTTGAGAGAATGTGGGTGGCTCTTAAAAGAGCCTTTTGAATCCTTGGCGCTGTTACAGATACCTTTACTTGGAGCTGGTGTACTTGGTGACAGCCTTGGTGCCCTCCGACACGGCGTGCTTTGCCAGCTCCCCGGGCAGCAGCAGGCGCACGGCCGTCTGGATCTCCCTGGAGGTGATGGTCGAGCGCTTGTTGTAATGCGCCAGGCGCGACGCCTCGCCCGCGATGCGCTCGAAGATGTCGTTGACGAACGAGTTCATGATGCCCATGGCCTTGGACGAGATGCCGGTGTCGGGGTGGACCTGCTTCAGCACCTTGTACACGTAGACCGAGTAGCTCTCCTTGCGGCTGCGCTTGCGCTTCTTGCCATCTTTTTTCTGCGCCTTGGTCACTGCTTTCTTAGAACCCTTCTTCGGGACCGGAGCGGACTTCGCTGGTTCAGGCATGACAGAAACCTAACCAATACTTCTAAACTAATACGAGCAAAATACCTAGCTAGCCAAAACCCCTAGTATTTGTTTGATGTGTATGCAAATTAGGGATCGAAAAGTGAGGATTTCTGATTGGTTATTTTACTATCTTCACTTCTGATAGGCTCTTTTTACGCCAACTCTCATTGGCTCTTCCGGTAGCTCCAGCTTAGCTAATTTGACCCTTCAACTCTGCGCGCTCTATGTAAATTAGAAGGGGCGTTGTTTTAGACCTTCCTTTTGATTGGCTGGAATGTGTGTTCGGTCACTCGCATAGGCTGTTTTACCAAACCGGCGCAGCGTATAATAGTGTAGCTTGTTGCGCTTTGTGAGCTACAATTTTTGCGGTTCTTTTTCTGTTCTGTGTGTTTCAGTATGTCTGGACGCGGAAAGCAGGGAGGTAAGGCTCGTGCCAAGGCCAAGACCCGCTCTTCTCGGGCCGGGCTGCAGTTCCCCGTGGGCCGAGTGCACCGCCTGCTCCGCAAGGGCAACTACTCCGAACGGGTGGGGGCCGGTGCTCCCGTTTACCTGGCGGCGGTGCTGGAGTACCTGACGGCCGAGATCCTGGAGCTGGCGGGCAACGCGGCCCGCGACAACAAGAAGACGCGCATCATCCCGCGCCACCTGCAGCTGGCCATCCGCAACGACGAGGAGCTCAACAAGCTGCTGGGCAAAGTGACTATCGCGCAGGGTGGTGTGCTGCCCAACATCCAGGCCGTGCTTCTGCCCAAGAAGACCGAGAGTCACCATAAGGCCAAGGGGAAGTGAATCAACTGATAATACCAATTTGTGCAGTTACCACCACTTATTTCATCCAAAGGCTCTTTTCAGAGCCATCCATGTTTTCATATAAAGGCTTGTAACTGCGTGGTTTTGAGCGATGCTCTTATGTTTTGTTGTGGTTACTATCTGTCCATAGCCATGACACCTCATTCACGGCAAGTTAATAGGTATCGTGGTCATTTGTGGCTCTATGGTGCTTCAGTGTGGTTTAGGGAAACGGAAGTTTTACGAGAAAATGCTTAATATTATAAATAAAGGTTTTATTATAGTTGGAAGGAAGAAAGTTAGAAGAACGTTCATAAAATCTTTAGATAGACTAAGTCCGTCAGTGTTCAGTAAGTAAAGTATTTCTTCAGAGAAAAGGGGAAAACCAAACATAAGGAACTATTCAACTTTCAAGTGAAACTAGTATTTTACTCTGCGGCCAAGAGGCGGGTCGGGGTGGTAGCATGGAAAGTCACTTAAGACTCACTGAACAGCAAAACGATAGAACTGGTAACAAATCGATAAACCAACGCGGGCTTTTCAACTTCTGAACTGAAGCAAAACCCCATCTGGGATACCATAAGGAAGTCAACCAACATTTGTTGCGCAGAGTTCTTTGCCCGTCATCTCCGGGCGGGGCGCTTTACCTGTGATTTCCCAGGCACTCCAGCCAGGAACCCTGCCGTATAGGTCAAAGACTTCACAAAGTGGAGATAGGAATTGGCAGTCCAGGCTACTGGAGGTTCAGTTCAGAAAAAGTAACCGCCTGAGAAAAAAACAAAATACAAGTAAAGGTGTCCTCGAAGTGTGGTCCTCAAAATTTTAGGCCCCATTACATAGATCTACTGCATCAGAAGTGGCATCTTGCACGACCCCCAGATGGTTCCCTATCTACACTTGTAATGCCCTGACTACAACATTAGAAAATTACCTCCTTTGAATTGCAGACCTTAAAAGAGAGGGGATTGGAATGTAGAGTAGTTCACCCAATCAGAGTCTGTAGTAATTAACCAATCACCTCGTCGGCTGTTCAGCCAATAGTTTTACTGCGCGGGACTTTTGAAAACGCGCTAAGGCCAATCAGAATGTTTCTGAGGATATATAAAGATAAGGTCTTCCCCCTTAAGGCTTACGTGTGTTCCTTCACGTTTATCTGAAATGGCTCGGACTAAACAGACAGCTCGTAAGTCCACCGGTGGCAAGGCGCCCCGCAAGCAGCTGGCCACCAAGGCGGCTCGCAAGAGCGCGCCGGCCACGGGCGGCGTGAAGAAGCCCCACCGCTATCGGCCCGGCACGGTGGCCCTGCGCGAGATCCGCCGCTACCAGAAGTCCACCGAGCTGCTGATCCGCAAGCTGCCCTTCCAGCGCCTGGTGCGCGAGATCGCGCAGGACTTCAAGACCGACCTGCGCTTCCAGAGCTCGGCCGTGATGGCGCTGCAGGAGGCGTGCGAGGCCTACCTGGTGGGGCTGTTTGAGGACACCAACCTGTGCGCCATCCACGCCAAGCGCGTCACCATCATGCCCAAGGACATCCAGCTCGCGCGCCGCATCCGTGGGGAAAGAGCATAATGCTGTTCTAGCACTGACTAATCCAACTAAAAGGCTCTTTTAAGAGCCACCCACTTTTTCTCAAAAATAGCTGTGATTGGCTTACTGTATGGCGTTTTTCAAGTTGTTTCAAACGTTTCTTGAGATCTTGTTTGAAGTAGTGTTACTTTTTCGAACAAGATCTCAAGTTTAGGGGGAGGTTTACTCTCAAGTTACTGAGTAAACTTGCTGGGTTTGTTTACTAGGAGTGTCATGGAGTTGCAAAGTCTAGTTCTTCCCTAATGTTTGCCTGCTCTACTGCCTTGCCACCTTTGTACACCGTAAGTGAGTGGATCATGGGCAGAAGTTGTCTGAAGATAGGAACTTTGGCTCTGGCAATGGGATGTAAATACAGAAGTTAAGAGAGTAGCAGTTTTGGCTTTCTTGTGTGATGTTAAGGCGTTTACACAGTGACCAGTAAGAGCATTGTTTCGCTGATAGTTGATTTCTCACATAACATACTAGACTACTGGAGCAGGATTTGTAGAGTTTATTGGTGGCAGAGCCCTGATGATGGCTTCTACAGTCTTGGGATTCACGCTGTGGTCTACCACTAGCAGCCTGAGTACCACTTGTGGACTTGCTATAATAGATTTTCAGGCTCCACCCGGGCCTGCTGAGTCAGGTGACTCAAGAACACTAGTTAAGAATCATATTTTAAAAAATGGTGTTTTTTGGTTTCGTCAAGAACAGCCCGTCTGAACTCTCACCAAGAGTAAGCATTTGCAAACTGAGTATTTGTTTATGTAATAGAATTAAATATTTTCTAAAGCAGTTGCACGTAGCAAGGTGCACCTGAGACAGTTTGCTTTCATTGTAAATCAGTGTTCTCAACTGTTGACTGCACGTTGCAGTCAATTGGAGGTTTCATAGAAATATTTTTGTTTGGGGTCCAATCAGTATCAACTTAATTGTAGTCTGTAGCAGTGGGCACAGGCAATAGTAATTATTAAAACTTGGGTGCTTTTAACAGGTAGCTCGGGCCAAGACCAGATGCTACGTGAGTTCTAAACTTATCATTAGCTCTTTTTTGACCCCAGGCTTAGCAAGGGGTTACCTAACGGAATCAGGCTTTCCTTGTAGTTTCCCTTCAGAGAGAATATACTGGTCCCTGAAAGAGGACTTTCTGGCTTGCTTGACTGTTTATCTCACTGCAATGAATCAAATAGCCCCTGGCTTCTGTAGCAATTTCTGAGGACAGAGCTGCTGTGAGTCTATGCTGAGAAGTGGAGCTGCTTTCAGTGGTTAACAATACCGGCTTGTCAGGGATGCTACAAGGAGGACCATCCTGGACCTCTTGGCAGACAACCCGTGGGATACTTCTGTGCCATCACATTGGGCCTTTCCTGTACAGAACAGCACGAGGTCTTATGTGGGTATTCAGCTGGTCTTTCTCCATGGCTTTTATTTATTTAACAACTTATCTTTTTTCAAATATTGTTTTTTAAAACTTTTATTAAGTGACATTTCAGAATATATGGAAGTAGGGATAATAGTTTTATCAACCTTACGTACCCCTCACCCGGCCTCAACATCGTCACCACTGGCCAAATCTCTTTTATCTCTACATATTTCACCTCACTGCCTTGATTGTTGTAAAGGAAATCATATAATTTCTTCTCTCAATATTTTAATACATCTACTATTTTAAAACCTAATTATGCTGCCAGGATTACTTCCCCAACAAACATTTCTTAACGCTGATGAATTTTAAGATTTATTTACTCACATATATTTGTTGAGAGTTTACAACGTGACAAATGTTGTTCTGTGCATCGGGAATGTACTCAGAGAATGAAACAGACAAAAAGCTCTCCTGGAATTTATATTTGAGTCTGGGATAGACAGACAATACATTAGGTAAGTAAATACCATATATAATATGTTAGATGTGAGGAGAAAAATAAAAGCAAGAATAAGGAGTGTTATGGGGAGTTGAAATTTCGATAGGGTGACCAATGAAGCTGGAACTAAGAAGATAATGTTTTAGCAAAGACTTGAAAGGAGAGGATGCAAGCTGTGGAAAGAGAAGGGAGAGTGCTGAGGTGCCAGAGTGGCTGTGTGGAATGAGCAGGGCACAAGAGGAGAAGACGAAGGCAGAGAAATAAATGGAGGCCAGATCAAGTAGGGGCTTGTAGGCCACCATAAGAAATTTGGCTTTTGCTCTGAATGAGATGCAAGGCCTTGAGAGGAGTGGAACATAGGAGTTTTTGTGTGTGTCTCTCATTTAAGCCATTTCCACTTTATTTTTAGGTAGTCTCAATTGTACTCCAGTACAGAAATTAGGACTCAGTTTTCTTTCTGTTTTGTTTTTTCAGATCTTGAAAATAGAAGCTGATTGGAGCATTTTATAGTTAGGGACAAAAAAGAAAATCTACAAAAGTCAGTTTGGGGTTAAACTTGATCCCGTATTGTGGTACTTCAATTTACTAGTTTGATGGCCACAGGCAGAATGTTTACCCTCAGGTAACAAAATGTTTATCCTCAGGTAACAAACTAGATTTATTTGGATTGCAAATTGGAATGTCTTCAGGGACCGGGAAAGAGGTCCTCGTATCAGGGACAGTGAGCCACCCAGCTTTATTTCACTGGGTCACTCAGTCAGTAGCAGCTCTTCTGGCTGAATCCATGCCCTCTGACTGTCAGATGCCAGCTCCATGTTGCACTCGGTCATTGTTATATCATTTGCCAAATACAGACGTGAACTACACCTGCCTTGGGAACAGTCCAGGTGGTAAAAGATTCATAATTTCATTAGTTCAAAAATCTGTAATTTGGTGCCTAAATAGATTATTTTATTTAATCCGCACTGCAACTCTGTGAGTTGCAGGCCATTATCAGCCCAAATACAATGGTAAGGAAACTGAAGCATAGTAAAGCGAACTGCCTCGTGCAGGGGCTCATTTGCATAATTCAGTCATGGACCTTATCTCTGGGGCTAGAGAATGGATGGACACTGTGTGTTACATACATATTTTTATTTTACTTCATTCATCCATCCATCCATTTGGTGAAGATCAAGGCTGCCCCAGGGAGATAAGTCCAAGTTGCCCTGCCCTGCATACCTGCATACTGATCTATATCACCCTCTGGGAAGCGTAGCACATCCTGACTTAATCTGATCTGATTTCTTATCTAAAGTTATAGGACCACCCAATAACCAGACCCCACCTACACTGCTACCATTTTAACGATTTTTTTTTCAGTATCTTTCCTTTGTCTTGTAAAGAAATAACTCACATACCTATGCCTTATAAATTTAGCTCTGTCCTCAACCCACTGCAGCTCTTACTGCCCATGGGTCCTGTCCCCATGCCTGCAGCTCTTCACTGCCCATGGGTCTTGTCCCCATGCTACTCCATGCTGTTCTCTGAATAAAAGAGGACTACTGCCAGACCTTAAGAGTCCAAGAAATCTTTCTTTTGACTTCTCGGCTCACTGAGCCTGCATCACATTCATCAAAAGCCTTTTGAGTGATTACTATGTGCCCAAAAATGTTCTCGGTGCTGGAAATGGAGCAGTGAATATCATGGGCAAAGTCCTCTCTCTCTGTGTGGAGCTCACTGACATTCTGGTTGTGGGAGACAGAAAATAAGTCTAATATTTTGGTAGGTAAAGAAGCTTAAGAAAACAGACCAAAGGGATTTAGGACTGCCAGGTGGTGGATAGTTGTAATTTTAAATGGGGTGAGTGGGGAAGACTTCACAACTGAGATGAGATTGAGCAGGAGGCATGGCAAGAGATTTTCACATATTGAGGTACATGGAGTAACTAGTAGGGTTCAAAACTGATTCGGCTTGAACTAAAAAGCCTGATTTACGGCCTGTTAAACGTACATTGCACATCTGCTTTAATGATTAAAGTAAAGAATGCACTCTTGGGGCAGGCCTGGTAGTGTAGTGGTTAAGCTCACATGCTCCACTTCAGTGGCCTGGGGTTCGTGGTTTCCAATCTTGGGTGTAGACTTATAAACCACTCATCAAAGCTATGCTGTGGTGGCGTCGCACATACAAAATAGAGGAAGATTGGCACAGATGTTAGCTCAGGGCCAATCTTCCTCACCAAAAGAAGAAGAAGAAGAAGAAGAATGCACTATCTTAAGATAAGGATGCATACTTCCCCTCCTATGCCCTATTGGTAACACCCTATTGCACACACCTGCATTAGTCCTTTTCCGGACATCAGGGTCATGTTGACCTGTTAATTTGCAACTGAATACCTCTTTGAAACTTTGATGAAAATGCATCCTGGGTGTGTTTAATGTATGTTCTTTGCTCTAAAAAAATTTAAGACTGTACTGAAAACCATGCTTCTCTGGAATGCTTTCTCTGGAAGCCCTTCCGGATTATAATTATCACCCTGGCTCAGGTAAAACTCACCTTATTTCTCTTATCTATCGAAAGCTTATTGATTATTTTATGTTGTCAGGCATGAAGCCTGGAAGGGAGAGAGGTCTTCATACGTCTGTAAGAAGATCATTCCAGAGAGAAGAAACAGTGATTGCACAGATCCTATGTTGGGAGCATACATGGGATGATGGCCACAGGTCTGATAATCAACTAGATAAAACCAGATTCCTCGCCTGTTTTCTCAAGCTGGAGTTTTTAGGTAACTCAGCATTGACTTATACATTTTTAATATTTTTCAAAAGTATTGCTCCAGGTTCCTGAGCACAGCTGTTCAGATGGTGAACCAAGAGGCAGAGCAGGAATAGATAAGTGCTAACTGCATTGTCGACGAAAATAATCCATAACCAATCTATAAATGAAAATTTGGGTGAGTTTATTCTGAGCTGAAATCTGAGGACCATGGCCCAGGGCCTTTCTTCCTGAAGGAAGAAAGGGCACCAAAGAAGTGAGGTGTACAGAGTAGTTATATACCCCCATACAGGACGTTTCACATATGATTGAAATGTCCCTCCCACAACAGTGACAAGATTGCCCTGTTGGCACAGCGCTTGATGGACACAGCAGGTAGTGG